GTGGTGGAAAGCCAACCTCACCATATTTAGGAATCCATGTAAAGGTCAGCCCAGCCAATCACTAGCTACCCCTTTGTCCCAAGGCCTGAGTGCCAAAAAGGGACTATATAATCTGCTCTTCCCTTTGTTCTGGGCCCTTCTTACCACCCACTTGCCTCTGGTGTGAGGTAAGGCCCAAGCTTGAGTTTGCATAAAATTTTCTCTGTGTTTACAGTGGTGTGGCTGGCTTTTTTTTTTTTGGGTAGCGCATCCCATTCAGGCATAACACTTAGATGTGCTGACTGCTTCAGAGGGCTCTAGATCAGGAAGCACACAATATCTGGCACTCCTTTTACAATGGCCCTTACAGTGTAAAGGCTTTGATAATAGCATCCTGCCTTCCATTGCAAAGTACTCGTGGATCTTCTAATATTTCATCAACTGGTGATCAGGCATCAAACTATCATCTCATAAAGGATGGCTAACTGGTTGTTTCCCAGTTCTATAATTTCTTTCACTATTTATATCTAAAACTTCCCCTTGGCAATGATTTACTTTCTGAGATACAACTTAAATAGGAAAGACAGTGAAAATTCTAATCTCTCATTTAATTGACAACTTTACAATAAGGAGTTTGTGCCCTAGTTCCTTGCAGTAGTGGTATGGATTGTTTTATTTTTTCTTTCAGACTTCCCCCTTTGAAACATTTTTAAGAGCTCATAGGTTTTAATGTATGCAATATGCTTCAGATAGCTACATCTGTTATCTTTTTCAATGCTCAAATTTTCCCATCATTGGCCAAAGATATTCCTTGATTTTGGTTTCTGTGGCCTTTCGATATAATAATTTGTTATGAATGGGTTCCTTGCCTTGGGGGACAGCTATTTCATGTTCCTCTTGAATATATCCTGCCCTAGACCTGTAGTCAGACATTCTTTAAAATAGCTCTGGTTTCTTATAGTGGAAATTGCATTAAAAGGCCCAAAATGATCATTTATATTTTATTTGTAGTTAAAACAACAGCTTGTATCTCTAATGTTTTATTTCAAGGCTGCAACTTTAGAAACTTGTATTTGTTTATGTAATAAATAAAATTGTAATTTGTTTTGTTTTAAGCCCACTTTTAAATTACTTATATAAAAAAAGATATACACCATTCATCATAAATATACCTAAAATAATTTTAATAACTTTATGCCAATATTCTGTTTTTCCAGATAGCACAATTTATATTCAGAATTTCCCAAAATGTTTGAAATGAAGAATATAAATGAATCTCAAATGTTTTCATATGTATTTAATCAATTTCATCAGAGTTGCTGTAGAAAAAGCTTTGAAAAATTTTTAGAAATGTGTTGGTTTGATATGAGCTGTCAAATTTGAGGCTTACTTTTGAATAAGTGAAGATTTTTAATTTCAGATGTTAGCAGATTGGTGAGGGAATATATGATATTGAAAAACATGAAATGAAAAGTGCTCTTTAATATCAATTCTCAAAGAAAGGTCTCAGGACCCTTACAGTTTACTCAGATTCTTTTACAGAGTTTGCAAGTTCTTCCCTTTTTCAATACAAACTTGTATGAAGGCCAGATTTCTTTGTTATATTTGCTATAACAACATATTACAACAGACTGAATATAGAAACAGAATGTGAGAATTCAGCTGTCTCTTCAATCAGATAGTAAAGAGATTTTACAAAAAAAATTTAAAAGACCACCTCTCACTTTTTAAAAAAAACTAATTACACAAAATTTATGGTAATAACTAATGGGTAAATTATTTTTAAAATGATTTTTAAATGTAATTTCCCCCATTGTATTTACTTATTTAAAGATTTATTTGTTTTTGCATGCAAGAGCCAGAGGTACAGGGTGGTAAGAGCATACACTAGAGGTGGAGTGGGGAGCAGAACAGGCAGATTGAAGAAGTACACTGCTGAGGGAGCAGCTGGGCGAGACAGGAGCGGTCTGCTGCGCCATGTGGGTCACCTCCCTGGCTGGGGATTGAACTCATGCTGTAGTGGCTGCTAATTCATAGTGTTGACACTTAGCCCTTTTCACCACTAGGGGAGACCCCTATTTTAATTTTTTTTTATTTTAATTTTTAATAATAAATATGAAAGAACATTGACAGCCCTCACAAAAAGTTCTTTAAAGTTGTTTATCATTTTTAAGAATGTAAAATGATGATGAGACCAAAATGTTTGAGAACTTTTACTTTACAATATCTTGCAGTTTGTTTTCTAATTGTAAGTATGTATGGATATGAATAGATTTAAAAAATGTATTCATAGAATTTATAAACATTATTTCGAGTTAATTTTGTTTAGAGGTCATGTTGAGTATTAGACATAATGTCCTGCCATAATTTAATGTTGTGCCTTATTCATTTTCTCCCTGATTATTTTAATGATACATGGAAGGCTACTCCAATATAAAAAACCCTCATGTTCTAATTGTACACATAAGCCAAATATTCAATTAGAATTTAATTGATGAAATTGAAGAAAATGGGATGTCTGAAGATTTACTACCACATTATTTTTAACAGTCTATTTTAAAACATTTTCAGTTTACAGCAAAATTGAGCAGAAAATATAGAGTTCCTACATACTCTTGACCTCATACTTGCTCATCCTCCCCCACCATCAACTTCTTTGCACCAAAGTGGCACATTTGTTAGAACCAGGGTTCATTCTTGGTGTTGTACATTCTGTATAACCACATGTATCACCCTGATAGTATCATTGAGATTTTCACTACCTTAAAAATCTGTGCTTTGCCTGTTCTTTCCTCACTTTCTACTAAAACTTGGCAACTACAGATCTTTTAACCTTCTCCATAGTTTTAGAATGTGATGTGTGGAATCACATAGCATGTAACCTTTTCATATTAGCTCAGCTTCTTTCTAAGTGCATTTGCTATTTAGTCACAAAGTCATGTCAGATTTAGCAACTCTCAGTAGTTTATTTGCCTCCTATTAAAAGCGAAGAAGTCACACATGCCTGCCTTTATTGTTTACCCATGCACATTCTATCCCAGACTATCAATTGCAAGTGGCCAGAAACTCCATCTATTTAATTTGGGGTGACAGTGCCAATAGAGCCCAGTTTCATTTACAAAGATGGTCCCACTGCTACTTGATGAGGGTGGTTCCTTTCAGTTAGGGCTTTGAAATTAAAACCTTAACCACAGCAGAAAAGAGGTTACTCTGCAGTAATTATTTCAGTGACAAGTATAGAAACAAAACAAAACAAAACAAAAACAAACCCAAACTGGCACATTTTCCATTCACAGGGGAGCAATTTATTGTCTTCGGTAGACTCTAGGAGTTCCAGTTAACAGGTCCAGTTATCAGTTATTAAGTCTTCGAGTAGGTTCTTAAACCTTTAGAATTTATTTTAAACCAAAGTAGGAGAGCACCTGGAATTCATGCTTGTAGTAAACGATTGGAAGAAGCAGACTAGTTTGTCAATATTCTGAAAGATAGTAAGGACAGACATAATAAGAAGCATAGTCGGGGGAAGAGGTTTTATTTTATTTTAAAGATGTGTTTAATTTATGCATTCAGAGTTGGGGTACAGGGCATGAGAGAATTCAGAGGCAGAGTGGGGAGCAGAACAGGCAGACCGACTGACATACACTGTTGAGGGGAACAGCAAGCAGGTCAGGAGAGTTCTGCCACACCATGTGGGTCACCTCCCTGGCTGATGGAATCCAACTCCAGCTGCAGTGGCATTGGCTGCTGATAGATTCATAGTGTTGCACTTTAACCCCTTTTGCCACCAGGGAGGGGCGGGAAGAGTTTTTAAAAAGAGATAGAAATAGTTTATGTCTGTCTGGTAAGTCTGGGTTCACTTTCTTTGTAGGTAATGAGAACCCTGTTTAGAGCTTGAATCACTGGAGGCTTAGGCATGAAATTCCAGATTCTTCAAAGAAAACCAGGATTATTCCTTTTTTTTAATTCATACGTATAGAGCTGGGGTACAGGCCAGAGATGCGGAGGGTGAGAGGATTCACCAGAGACAGAGTGGGGAGCAGAACAGGCAGATCAACTAAGTACACCGCTGAGGGGAGCGGCGGGCTGGTCAGGAGACATCTGCCTAGCCATGTTTAGCTCCTTCGGGGCAGGCGGGGATCGAACTCTTGCGGAAGTGGCTTAAGCCTCCTAGTGCTGTGCTTTAACTCGCTGCGCCACCAGGGAGGGCCGGATTATTCCTTTTGTGTTGCCTAAAAACAGCAAAAGTGAATAGCTTTCTTCCGTAAAGGGAAACACACACACACACACAAACACACAATAATTAAGGGGTGTCCAGTGGGGGGAGAGTTCACAAGGAGCTTTGCCATTCTCCCTGCTGGGATGCTTTTGCCGACCAGTGAAAAGAGGGGAGGCACATTTTCATAAATTTTCAGCTATTGCTTGCTCTCTTGGCCATTCGTAAGGTGCTGCGCTTGAGAATGTGTCCCCAACTATGACTTGCTAAAAGTGTCATTTTGATCCGTTGCAGACTTGATCTAGGCCAGGTTTTGAGCTCAGCCGCGACAGGCGCAGGGGTGGGGGCGGAGCTTCGCGGGCTCCCGCGCGCTGGGGGCAGGGGCGGGGCTTGCCGCCGGCAAAGGGCGGAGCCTGCGCGGGGACTTCCCCTGGCTGAACGGCAAACCGGGTGCGGAGGGCGGGCGCCGTGGGGCGGTGGGGGGCCGTGGGGCTGTGTGGCAGTGGGGGATGGGCGGGCGCTCTGCCTCCGATCTCGGTGGACCCCTGGACTTGGGTCCTTTCAGGGGAGTCGGCCCCAGGCGGGGCCGGCGTCTCTGGGAGGCGGAGGGCTCCTCGGCCGGAGCTGGTGGCGAGCATGTTGCGTGCGCGTGTTTATCTGAGGCCCGCGCGGCTGTGGCGCTCACTGCTCCTGCCTCCTCAGCCTCCACAGCCTCCTCCTCTCGGCGGGCCGGGTGGGAAACCTACGTCTAGCGGCAGAGCCGACTGGGCTCGGGGCCGATGCGTTCCTCCCTGTCGAGCTGGCGCCCCCAGAGCGTTCCCTCATCTCGCCCACCTCAAAGGGGGACCCCAGCCCTGGCCAGAGGGAGCGCCGTGGGTACAGCCGCTGGCTGGAGGCGTTGGGCAGTGGCGGGAGTGCCTAGGTTCGAACCCCAGGGTTTTAAAACACATGTCTGTCATTTTCACTTTTAGGGTTTTGGCCAAATTGGGCAAGGGCACAAAATAACCACTTACCCCTTCTCACCGAGGAAGCACGGGAGAAAGGGTAAGTAAGGAATGGTCAGGGGTGGACCGAGCCGGGGCACTCCTGAGAGCCAGAGTGAGAGACTGAGTCAGGGAGAGTCTAGATCCAGAGCTGCCCCTTTGGGCGCTTGGGGCCTGTCAGCCACTGCCTTAGGAGCCTGAGCCCACCCACGGGTCACACAGGCAGACCTCAAGCCCTAGTCCTTCCAGCCCACCTCCATCCTGGAGGAGGCTGGGAGATGGACAGTTGGCATCTGTTCCTTTTAGCCAGTTGACCAGGCAGAAAACTCATTACCCTTCACCTTTTTGTTGACTTGGACTGTTCTGGTACTTGTGCCTCCAGAGGGGCCATATCCGTCAGCTAGCTTGGATTCATTTCATAGACTAGTATTAATGGTGGCCCAGCTTGATAACGAACAGGAATCCCTCCAAAGGATCTTGCCTAGGGGACTCAGAAAAAACCCTTTAGGCATAAAGTTAATAGCACTGTCATGCCGTGAAGTTCCTTGAGTATTGTCTCAAATTTATAGAGAGAGGAAGATATTTTGACAGATACCTATACACCACCAACATTGTATCCACTTCTAAAAAACTGCTGAACAGCTGTAGTTGACAGTGATTTTTAGGTGTGGTCTCTTACATTGGTTCTTCTTGGATTTCTGCCCCATGTCTTCCCTGACACTGCACTCCCCTTCCTCTTTACAGGGGCTAAATGTAGTATATCTTGTCTCAGAAGTTTGTGAACACGTTAGTTACAAGCAAGAAAATAGTAGAACACGTTCTTGGATACTGCATAGGAAAACTAGAATTATCCTCTAGGGACATCTTGACTTTGCGGTTCTTTGAACCTGCTTTCTTACCATGTACAAGTTGCAGATGACCACATAGTTTAATGTGTGAAAACCAGAAAGAAAATAATTTATTGATGAAAGGTTTACTCATTGATTTAGCAGATATATACTTATCTTTCCCCCAGTAAAGTGCTGAGCACTTTGATTCATTGGGATAGTGAGAATGAGACTGTTGGAAATGGCTGTTTTGGAACAGGCCTGGCGACAGTTTTCTGTGGCTTAAAAAAATTGTTATTGTAACCCATCCTCCCTATATTGTTGATATTAGTGGCCTGTAGTTCTGTACAGTGTTGAGGAAGAAAAGTGTTATGTTTTGGCCTTTCTGTAGTAAGACTTTCAATAATGACTGAACATGGTGATTTCTGTCCTCTAATAAAGGTTATAGTCATTTTCCCATGTAATAAAGCTATCAGTTTAATAATTTGATGAAGATAATTATTGTAGTGTTTCATAAAAGCAGCTCAAGACTAGAAAACATGGAGAGTATTGAAGTTGATATATGCAGGACAATAAATACTAGACCATCACTTGCATAGATTTCTGTACATTTAATCTTGTTTTTTTGTTAATGTGAAAAAAGGTATCTTTTCTGGTTATAAAGTTTATAAAAGGTGTAAGGAGTTACTTAAAATTGACTCTTAGAGGGATATAAAAGGTAGGTGAAACTCCTATGAATACACTCTCAACTCACTGTAATTTGTGTTTACTTCAACTTTTTGTTACATACATGGAACATTTTATATATGTATGTGTGTGTATGTGTACATCTCTTATTATTTGTTAAAATTATTATATTTTTGGTTATTTATCCCTGCTCCTTGTTTCACTCCAAATCTTAAAGATGAAGTATATAATATTTTAGACATGGACTTAAATCCTGACTCTTACTTTTTGTTAGCTGCCACTTTGGGCTAGTTAAAATTTCTTTAATCCTGAACTTCTTTCAAATCAGAACAATGATTTATATTAAAAAGAATGCATAAAAAACAGGACCTAGCATAGAGATACTAACTGCGGATTTCCTTCCCTATTTCTCTATCTGGTCACCTACCATTTTCTTTTGATCTTCCACTTGATTGTGGAAAGTTATCAAGTGCTTCTTAAAGGTGCTGAGCCTCTGAGTATTGGTGTCAATATCACATTTTATATCTGATTCTAGAATTTCTGGTATAAGAATTGACAACCTATGTGGCTCAGATTTCTCCTATTAAATCATTCCACAACCCTGCCTAAGGAGTGTCAGTTTGGAAAATGAAGGAAAAGAGTTTCTGTAATGTGTTTAAAATGCTCTGACATTGTTCCCAAAGTGAGAAAGACATACTATCACATTTAGCTGAGTGCTTAAACTTAGGATTTCTATTTCAGAAACGTCTTGGTTTATAAGAATTACAATAAAAATGCTGATGCTTCATGTCCAAAATGTCATGAGTTTGCCAAGTTGTGGGTTTAATATACAGCTAAACTGTGTGTTTAGTGTATCTAATACTTCTATGGAAGCCAAGACAGACAAATCCACAGACATCTGATTTCACACCAGACATCCGGTTTCACTTTGCTAAGGAGTGTGTTTTGTCAGTAGATTATAGGCATATTAGCTATACCCCTGTAGTTTATGGCATTTCTGTCATAAGCTCTGGTTTGTAGGATTTAGTATGATGTTGTATTCAAATCATAGCACACTGTAATTGAACACCTGGTCAGATTACTACATTGCTTACAGGTGTCTTCTAGTGTCATTGTTAAGCTTTTTTTTTTTTTTTTTAAAGATTTATTTATTTATTTGTGCATACAGAACTGGGGTACAGGCCAGAGGCTCAGGGGCGGTGAGAGGCTTCACCAGAGACAGAGTGGGGAGCAGAACAGGCAGATCGACGAAGTACACTGCTGAGGGGAGCAGCGGGCGGGTCAGGAGAGGTCTGGCTCGCCATGTAGTCTCCTCCGGGGCAGGCGGGAATCGAACTCCTGCGGAAGTGGCTTCAGATTCTCAGTGCTGCTCTTTAACCTGCTGCGCCACCAGGGAGGGCCCATCATTGTTAAGCTTTTATCCTTGGTGATTTTTTTTTTTTTCTGGGTGAAAAATATTCTTAAAGCAAAAGCCTCTCTTAAGAACCCAACAATTTAATTTCAGGTTCATTTTTTTTTGGTCATGTTGAATAAAATAACAAGTACAATATTGTTTTCTAGGGCAATACTCCACTCTTTTTCTACTCATTGTGTATTCATTATTTATTAGTGGCACTATCAATTCTAACCAACATTTATAGTTGTGTTTTGGAGAATTATGAATTCTGAGTCCTAACCAAAAATGACTGGATCATGTACCATCTCATTTTGAAGTACTCGGGGGTATAGAAATTCTCTGGCTGTCATTCCTGCATTCTGGGACAGACTGTCATTGCTTAGCTATGTGAACTTGAATATGAAGTCCTCATGGGGCAATTCTTCATGATTACTGTGAGATACAGTGAGTATTTGTAAGTTAGCATAATAAATGGTATAAAATACTAGTTTCATTTTCTTTCCTTTAGATCTTTTTCCTAAGAATAAAGACCCTTTTTCTCACTTATAATCCAAGCTAACCCTTTAGCCATAAGGACTCATGGTTCCAGCTGAGGGGAATGATAGCTCATTGAATCTGTCATTTAGTGGGGGGAGTGGGAAAGGGGTATGGATTATAATGGCAAAGAGGAGGATTGTTGAACTGAGAGAGGAAGGTGCCAAACTTTTGTTTGGTACATGAACTTAGGTCCATGAATTACTTGACTCATAGAACCACCTTTACCTCTGGCTTCTCTGTAATCATTTGCCAGCTGCTCCATTGGACACTCTTGCCTCTTATTGCTTACCTAGTCTAATGATTAATGCTTTTTAATTTGTCATTTGATACTATCTGAATAGCCATGAATTTTTTTTTAATGGGTGGGGCCTCAATAGTAGAGGCTTATAGTTCCTTAAGATCTTACTTTTTTTCTTTTCTATACTCAAAGTCCAGGTGAATTTTTTCCCTTTCACTAACATTTTTTTTTTTTTAACCGTGTACTACTTGCATCGAGCTATTTGTTTAAGATACAAGGATGAAAAGTCACTGTCCTTGATTAATGAAGGAACTAGTAGACTAGGACGACAATAGACATCTTAATAACTAGAATATCATGTGCTATTTGCCATGATGGAGATATACGTAAGTGCAGAGGAAGCCTAGCCAAAGCCCTACTCCTTGATGGGAATGCCAGCAATGGCTATGCTTGAGTTGAATCTTCAAAGCGAAGCAGGAGTGGGCAGGTTGATGAGAAGTCAGGAGCATTTTCAGGTGGAAATAGCATGAGTAGTTATATGGCATCATGTGAGCATAGTGGGTACTATATAGAGATTGTTATTTTAGCCTGAGAAGGGCAAAGTTAGGAGTGAAAGTATGGTGCACTTCCTGTGTCATGTATGGTAGGGAGCCACTGCGGAGTGAGTGACTGAAAAAATCACTGTCAAAGCAGTATGCTAGGAGGGGGTGTGTGGCAAGATAGGAGTCCAGAACAGATTGTGCATGGCTAAAAGCACATTGAATGTTCAGTCAGGGCTGGAAATAGTGGGAATAGAAGTGAAAATGGGTCAGAAAATTTATTTAGGAGGAGGGAACATTGGTTGGTCTTTGTAACTATTCAAATATATAAGCAATGGGAGAGTGAAGAGGCTAGGATGACTCCAGGTTTCTGGTTAGTGAGGGTGAAGAAAGAAGAAGCGTGTCTGAGGGGGGATGTGTTTAATATGCTTATAGGGCATGTCGTTGGTGAATTGGAGGCATCTGGAAGGCAGTTAGATATAGAATCTTGGAGCATTGCAGAGATGTGGAGGCTGGATGTACAATTTCTGACTGCTTACCATATGGAGAGTAGTTGAAGGTATGGGTAAAGATAAAAGTACTTAGAGTAACTGTATAGAAAGAGAAGCGAAAAGGGCTAAAAGTAAGCCTTAGAGAATATTGACATTTTAGAGACAAACCAAAGAAAAGAAGGCCTTAAGGATGCTGAAGAGGACTGAGAGAAAAGTAAGTGAACCTTTTCAGTCTTCGGCAGAGTTTCAAGAAGTAGAGCCCGTTAAAATTTAAAGCTCTGAATTACCTAGGATGATGAAGATAGTAAGATAGCTGTTGGATGTCATGTTTCACTGGAGTGGGCAG